TTTAATTGGTAGAATATTAAGTCCATTTTATTGCCATGTAGATCTTCTATGAAGATCAATTTGTCCATTTTATTGCCGTCGATCAATTATGTAAGGCATTAGATGTCAATTTTATTGCCCTTGATTAAATGAAAAATTCAGATTCAGCCCAGTTTTTTTGTCAAACAAGTTTTTAAAGTTTTTCGACGTCTGGTAAGTAACTTTGTTTGCCGAATTGTTTACTTGGTTTATTATTGTACCTTTTTGTAGGCTCGATTAAATTGATTATTCGATCAATTTTTTGATTTATGACGTAAAGTTTATTTTTGTGGAGTGTATAAAAGTCTAGACAAAAACTGTTTGATTTACCTCCGAACCCTTTTTTTCTTTGACAACAAACAAAGATAAATTACATCTTGAACGTCATTGTTGTTGTTTATGACAGTATAACTAGTATGGTTAGCACTTATATTGTGTGACAATTGAGAGACAATGTGCTAGCAAACAAAGAATGTAGGCCCTCGGACTAGTCGTATAACAATACGAAATATTGTTCCATAACGTGTTATGCAAAGAAGCGTATAAAAGAGATTTTTCCCTTTGTCTTCATTCCGACAAAGGCATGGAGGGGTTCTCGATCTATTTGCTAACTGGGCACCTATAGTTGATTCGGCGCTTCAATACGGAGAAGTATCACATGTTTGTGTAAGTAAACGTATAAATAGGGCTGAGTTAGGCGGGCACAGATCGTGACTCTTCTTTACACCTATTCACTAAATCATAAAACATGGATGCTATGAACGTGGACTCACTGGAAAAATGGCAATTTGCCGTTAAATTTATTCAAGACCACAACCCAAAAGCAACTGAGAAGGAGGTCAGCGATGCATACAAAGCGTATAAGGACTTCTATGTCAAGTACCATCAAGACAGCCCTGCAGCAGTCACAGACTGCTATGAATAATTCCTCAAGACGCAAGGTAAGCAGTGCACGTTTTATTAGGAGGATAGAGGAGCAACGGGGAGAAGAGTTTGAATACTGTTACTGGTTTTGTGCTATATTGCAAGAGGTTGGGCGTTATTAGTTGGGACAGAGCAGAGTCGTAACAGAGCTAGGTTTACATGTAATTCGTTTAAAAGGCAAATAAGCAAGATATGATGTGTTTGGGTTAAGTAGAGTAGGAGCAATGGAGAGGGAAGAGAATAGTTCGAATGCAAACTAACCGGATATATTACGTCATTTCGTTGGTAACGAAATGCTTATTTAGGTCATAAGAGCTTGACTTCAACTGCCTCACAAGATCCCAGCAGGTTGTTTGATCTGAATTATGTTAGGAAGGCTTTTGACTGCGAGTACACAAACAGCAGTGAACTTCGCTCTTCATTTTTTAGATATCTGGAGATGTTTACTAGTACGTACGATCAAGACAAATACTATTCACCATATGTGACCTTGATACAAGCGAGCGAGGTTAGAAAGTCACGACTATTGAAGGAGATTGGAAATGATGTCTTTGTAATATACTCATGCTTCCATGAGAGTTCCGCCAGTGGAGGTTTTCTGGAGCGTTCGATCTACGCCAATAATATTTTACACACAGAAGACGTCATAAGTACTCGCCTTCAGTGGACAGCATATTTATACGCATGCTTACAAGAGCTAACTGATGCTCAAATAGAATATGAGCAGTATTGGGCATATCACCAGTCATCTGAAGCTCAAAACAGTATCAAAAATAGAACAAACAGCATCTTTCGATCTCTAGAGAACTGTTGTAATAAAATTGAGGAAGAGGAAGTGCAGTTGAGAATCAAAACCGAGCTCAGAAAGCATTATGAAAATTTTGTTGTGAGGTGTAAGGAAAAGCTTGACCATATTCTAAGCAAATTAAAATTAGTCTTCGCATTCAATGAGACGCGGTATTTGCTTCTATCTGCAGAAAAACCGATAGACCGCTATTACTGGCTTCGGATCATTTTGCGTACTCTTGCTGAAGTGCAATATGCAGATTATTGTATCTTTGCTGTTGTAACGGACACGATGGGAAAACTGTCCAATTTTGCACCGCAGGGTAAACATGATCCTTCTTTACGAGTACAGAGTGGGAGTCATGAACTGTACCCTCTGTACTATCTACTCGATACGTTCAACATCCATATTCGTAAGGCCGCTTTGGAACCAAGGACGTTGGATAAAGCTGCAAAATGCGACTATATTTTCCGATTTGGCAGGCCTTTATGGTATGCACAGTTGTCATCAGCTGCTGATCCTGAGTATCCTGTCCGTTTAGTAAGGCTAGCAATGGCAAAACTTGGGTTTGCGTAATCAAAACTACGAGATTTCAGTATGGCTGTCACCATCCTCGGTTCACGTCTTCACCTTGATATCTCACCACAATCCGAGTTGGCAACCGATTTGGTCTCAAATTATATGCGTTTGATGACGTATGTGTCTGAGGATCTTCAAACAGTTGTCACAGCCTCACCGTCTGAACCTCCTTTAGCCATGGTGGCAGCAGCAATAATGAATCATGAGGATATTAGGATTAGCGACATTCTCAAGCATTGGATTCAGAGAATCAGGAAAGGTTCTATTCTACGTGGTTACCGTGGAGAGACTATCGCTCAATTTATCCTGCTGATGGTTTGGGATAAGCATGCGGCCGCTCGGTCTTCTCCCTTGAGCATCAAGTTCGCAGAACCAATAATTATCTATGATTACCTCAGGTCGCTGTTTGTTGAGAAAGTTTTTACAGATATCTGGCAAAACATAAAGGACACAGAGTTGGCAAAGGGATGGGTTCACTTTAACCATTTTGCGGGAGTATCTTACACACTAGCGAAGCGTAATTTACTTGAGTTTGCCAAGCGTGGAGCAGCAGTTTATTGTAAAGAGTGTCAGAGGGGTGTCGATTTAGTGATTCCAGTTCTAATCGATGGCAATTTGGATATTGAGAGTGTTACATTTATATTAGTACAGGTAAAAAATCACGCTATAATAACAGCGTATCGCGTGGATGCCACCTCAAAACTCACACCTGCATATATGAAGATGGAAGATGCCGCGGATTGCATATTGCCGTATCTATCTTTGTATATGCAAATTGGTGCTGAAGGACATCATTGTAATATTCTATCAAGTCACAGGCAGAATAAGAAGAATCAGATATCATGCGCGCTTTTCGGGATAACCAAAGAGCTGTACGGCTGTCTGAATTTGAGGCAGGATGATGAGACACTGGAAATTGAGAAGTCATTGAAAGAATTGCGAACAGCATCTGTGGATCTCATGCAACTGATAGAGGATGAAGAGAATAAGGCAATTGTTCATCGCATGTTACCGCTTTATTATCCAAAAGATGAGACAGCATCAAAAAGGAGGAAAACTTAATGGGAAACGAAGAGAATTCCATTTTCATATATATTATAATAAGATGGACAAGCAGAACAAGATGAGGAATGGTCTGAAGAATATGAATAGTGCGCATGTGGATGTGTTGCAATTTATGCATTCTCTCTCTAGCAATTTAAATAAAAGCCTTAATTATACAAAGAATTCATGCCTTTTCCCTGAGCAAGTTCACTTTATTGTTACGTTATGAGTTTACATATATCATGTTCTAAGGAATGTGAATGTTCTGATTCGTCCCGAATCAGTTCAGCTTTTCTTTTTTTTTCTTTTTTTTTTTTTTTGAAAGTGGATCATGGTCGCGGCAACGCTGCTGGCATAGGAAATGTTCATGAAAAGAATAAAGAAACGATAAAATTATATATAGGAGTACTCGTATATGAAAAATAGTGAATACAATGGTTCGACTGAATATGAAAAAGCCATGCGTTTCTTGGAGGTAGGTTGCAATTGCGGTTGCTCAAAAAAGATTTCGAGAGAAAAATTTGCCGAATTATACGAGGCGTTTCAAGCTCTCTCTAGACCTGAACAAGATATATTTTTAATGGTCCAGCTGAAAGCAATGAATGGCGGGGAAATAACCGCTAGAAGACGTCTTAAAAAGAAAACGCGTACTTATAAGAGAACATTTTACTACTGAGATCGCAATACTCCTCTGTGTCAGAAAACGTATCTTAATATGTTAGGAATTGGCCGCACGCACTTCGAAAACGTCAGAAATCATCTAGCAACAAATGGCATAATACCGCGCGTTCATGGTAATGTAAAAAGAGTGCCGCGATGGAAAACCAAAATAACCATTGATATAACCGTTGCTACCGCTGTGAAGAATTTTCTTGAAAATTACGCCGAAATACATGGATTACCAAGTCCTGGTAGAAACGTCAATCGCATTACTCAATCGCTTACATTATTGCCAGCCGAAACAAGTTACAAATCGGTTTATCGCAATTTTATCGCAGGTCTTGAAAATGATAGCATGTTGAAATTGTTAAAATATGACGCATTTCGCAAGTTATGGCACCAATTAACACCTTACATTCAAATTATGAGTCCACGAACGGATTTATGTGACACGTGCTAACATTTTCGAAATGGCTTACAGTATAATGCTCGTAAGGAAGAAGAAGCGAAAGATTTATTGAAAAAATTCAAAGAACATCTAGTTAAGGCTAAATTAGAGAGAAATTATTACTACAAAAATACGAAATTAGCAGAACAACAGAGAAAATTAGTAAATGAGCATTTTATAACAAGAGGTAAAGCCTATTGTAGCATTGACGCGACTGCTCATTATAGTTACGATTGAGCGCAAAATGTTCACGTACCCCATTCTGATCAACAGGTGAGTAAAATTTATTACCTTAGTCCGCATAAAGTACATTTATTTGGTATCCAAAATGAAGCAGTCCGCGAACAAATTAATTACGTTTTCAATGAAGGTGAAATTATAGGAAAAGGCCCTAATGGTACGCTAAGCATGGTATTCGATGGAATAAAGAAATTGAATAAAGGTGAAAAACATTTAAAGATTACGTGATAACGCGGGTGGTCAGAATAAGAATAACGTCACTATTTGATTTTACCTGTATTTGGTAGTTTGCGATTATTATGAAAGTATCGAATTAAATTTTATGATACCAGGACATACTAAATTCAAGTGTGATGGTAGTTTTGGATTGATCAAGAAACTTTATCGAAAAACAACCGTAGATTGCGTGCAACATATTGTTGAGGTTGTGAAAAAATCAAGTACAGCGGGATTAAACAAGGCTCAGTGTTATGACAATGGAAAAGGTTTTCAATACTTAGATCTTAATTCGGTGTTAAGAATTTTCTTTAAGAAATTAAGTGGTTTACAAAAATATCAGCATTTTGTTTTTGAAGCAGCTAATGCTGGAATTGTCAAAGCCTAGCTGGTTGTTAATGGTGCTTATACAGAATTCAATTTATTAAAAACTAAAAAAGCAAGTGGTGCTAAAATTACCAAAGAAATTAAATCTTTTTCTATCCTAATATTAACTCCTCTTCCCTTGGATTATAAACAACAAGAATATCTCTATCATCATATTCGCCCATTTGTTAGAGATGAATTCAAAGATATTACTTGTCCAAGCCCAATCTATACTGGCAATGAATAAAATTATTAAAATAATTATATACTTAATATTCCCTCATAAAAAGGATATAAGTATATTAAAGAATAAATAAAATAAAGAAAAAATCATGACAACAGAAAAATCATTAGAAATAAGAAAAGACATTGATTGTCTAAAATTTCACACAAAAACTTGGTTAGATCATTTAGAATCTCTTGAAAGCTATCATAAAAATGGTGAACATGCAAGTTTTTTTGATAAAGAAAAACCTGCTATTAACAATTTTTGATTTAATGAACATTATTGTAAAGGTATTGTTGAGATTTTTGACTTGTATGAGGGATTAGAAGAGCATATTAAGTGATTACAAAAGGAACTTAAAGAAGCTTGAAGTGAAGGTCAAACTCATATTGAAGCTATGTGAGATGCTTGTGAATGAGGGAAAAAAGAAAAAGAAAGACTGGAAGAAGAACTCGACAGTACCAAAACTACATTGCTTGATTTTGTTAGAAGACTTGCTAAAGAAAAGGTAGAAAATATGAAGTTGGTAGAGCAATCAAAAAAAGATAATTGAGCCTTGAAAAATCTTAATGAAAGACTAGTAGAAGAGAAACAAAACAGTTTAAAAGTTTATCTAGATAAACCTTTACCTAAGTTGCCAAGCAAATTCAAAATCTTTAAGAGAAAAGTAAAAACTAAATTCCAACATTTAGTAGAAAAAGTTAAATCTGAAAAACAAGAACTAGAACAAAAACTTATTGCTAAGATAGAGGTAAAGATTGGCAGTTGTTAATATATGAAAAATCTAACCCATATACTTTTAGAATTAGAAGATTGGTGTAGTGATGGTTCAGTATGTGATTTTTGCTTTGGCCTTAACAAAGCATCTTATCAAATAAAAACCTGTAGTCAAATCACTAACAAAATATTAGCAAACGATTTTATTTGTGAAAATTGTAAGGTAAGATTTGAAAATGATAAGTTGTCAAAGTGTAGCAGATGTGGTTGATTAAGAATTCAATCTAACATTGAATATCTTACTAATAAAGTTGTTTGTCGCTGTGTTAAAAGAAATGAAAATCCAGAAGAGAAGAAACTTCCTAATTTGCCTCATGAAAAAGAAAGTATGTCTGCTTTTTATGAAAGACAAATAAATTCCTTACAAGAACAACTAACTGAGACTGAAGAAGCTTTAGAAATCGAAAGAGAAGAAGTAGTTAAGTTTCAAGAAAAATCTGAAGAATGAGGCAAGAGACAAAAATAAGAGTTATTAGATCGAATTAAGCAACTAGAAGCAGAGAATGGCAACTACAAAGAAGAAGTCAAGAGATTAAAAACTCAGTTAGAACAATTAACTTCTCAACACACTGCTCAAATTGAAGTTAAAGAAAATAAGAGATGACCTTGATTGAAATTAAGGAAGTAATTGTTCTTTTTTTAAAATGCTTCTAATTTTTGGGTTCCATGGTGGATTTGATGTAAATTAATTTGATGTTAATATTTTTTATATAGAGGTAGTCCTATATTAATCCTGTTATGGTTTATATTTATCACATTCTAGTATGATAAAGGGAACATTAAAATTAACAAGTCCATAAGTTATGAATGAGCATCATTATTACTATTACTTCTCAAAACGTCATAAGTCACACTGGTCAAATTTACAGTCACATCATAATCAGCCTCTCATTTATAGAATGTTCACTTTGTCTGGTTTTATTGCAGCATGCCCCATATTAAACTTGAAAAAAAAATCAATAAAAAAAGAAATCAAATTTATAATGTTAAAATCAAAAAAAAAAAAAATCAAATAAAAAAAGAAATCAAATTTATAATACTAAACTCAAAAAAAAATTAACAAAAATTTCTTTAATCAAAAAAAATAATAAAATTTATTTTTTATTATATAAAAAAAAAATTTAAATGCCAGTTAAATTGAATATAATATTACATCCACAACTTTACTAAAAAACAAATTAACAAATAATAACTTATATAAATCATACAATAAAAATCAAAAATAATCAAATTAATCATAAAAAAAGTTATAATACTATAGACTCTAAAATTTATCATATATATACATTTGATAATGAATATGAAATATTAATTGATTTAACATAAAATTAAACTATTATTAATAATTCTAACTTAAATCATCCTCAAAATTATTCAAATCAAACCTAATTTCTCAAAATAATTTACAATTAATATGCTGAAAATCTTTTACTAAATTACTTAGATTATATAATAAATTTTAAAATAATATTTTATTTTAATAGTCTCGAATTGCCTGTGTATACTGTGAAAAACTTTTATATTTTAAAAAAGCAGATTGGATTTTTTTATAATCATTCAATCATGTATTCTCTATAACAAAATATATTTAATATTATTTTAATATTTCATCTAAATAGTATTCATACTTCTGAATTATGAATTCTTATATGTAATTTTTACAAAAACTATTAACATGATATTTTTTCTCTTATTTATTACATATATCTGAAGAAATAACATTTGTTCTTCTTTATAAAAGAAAACATCTTTTTAAGTTAAAATTTTTAGATGATATACTTTAGAAATATTATAAATTGAATATTATATATATAAGCAATACCACTAGCTATTAGTTCTATTATTCGATATACTAGAGAAATATGATCCTTTTTCAACAAAATTTTCAATAATCAGAAAAAAAGAGTAAGTATTATATATGTATAAATTGATTGGCTCACCTGATATATTAAGTTACAAAACAGATAAGATGTTAAAGTTCACTTAGTATGTAGATAAATACTCATAGTTGATTATGAAATTATGGGCTGATTTTTTTACTAAGAAAAAGATTGCATAATATGTAGCAAAACTTCAGAAGGTGTA